TCTGAGAAATTATTTCTGATTTCATTTTTTCCAGATCCACTTTTTGTTGCCAGTTCAGGGAGTCCAGGTGGTTGAGTATCAGATTGTTCCATCTTGTTTCCCTTTGGGGTTGCTGTAGGTGATCTGGAAGTCTGTTTTTGAGGTTTGTTTATGTGTCTTTTCATTTCCATGGCGGGGGGATATGCTGCTGGCACCCACGCAGCTCACCTCCTCTTCCCTGGGAGCTGTGAAATGGCAGCGGGGAGCCTCCTCCTGGGCACTGGGATTGGCTCACCTCCTCTGCCCTCAGAGTGGTGGAATGGCAGCAGGGCTTAAAACCTGGGCTGCAGCGGTTGTGGCTGACAACTGACAGGCCTGTAGCATCTCAACAGAATGGACAGCGCCGCTGGTGTACGCCAGAACTGCTGTGGCCGGTGCAAATGAAGGAGTACATGCGTGCGTGGATGTGTACCCCCATCCATAAGAAATTTTAATTATGTGAGTTATAGCCGCTGATACTTACTGTATGAGAAATCAAAACTGGGAAATGTTAAAAACCCAACTTTGTTTAAAAATAACAACAAACTAGTTACATATCAGCATAAAAAACTTTCTAAAAATTGAAAGCTGTGTTTTCCAAAATAAAAAATTGGCAAGAGGAGGGGCGGATTTACATTTTTGCTAGATTTTGAGAGACGGCTGGGTTCCGTGCGCTTCTGTGGGTGATGCGCTGTTCTGGATGAAGCTTGGAAGGCTGCTGCCCATCGTCTCCCAGTAAGGGTGTCCCTGGCAGGCCGGGGGTCTCTGGGGCTGTAGCAGTGGTTCCTGAAAGACTTTCTCCACTGTGGCTGCTGGTCCTGCATTTGTGCCATTGCACACCGCTCCCCGGGAGCATCCTGGCTCACTGTCACACACAGCCCTTCCTTCTGGACACCCAGGCGACGAGACACAGGTTCTGAAGATCTCATTTGTTCTGACACCGCCACTGTCTCATCTGAAAAGCCCTGAAGTCGGAAGCTGTCAGGCCGAGGTGGAGACTGAGTGTCCCCAGTTCCTGTCTCCGCTTGAAAACTCCATCTTTGCTGGCTTGTCTTCCTTGACATGACAGGCTGTCTTCACCCATGTTTGAGAAAGTGTCTGCCCAGACCCAGGTCTGAGGGACTGTGGCCACATCTCAGTCACTTTTAATAAAGTGGTGTTGGGTTCACTGGCAGCCCTGTCACGCAGCCCTCTCGGTGGCCAGGGCCCTTGAGTTTGGCGCAACCGTGCTTTCTGTGTGTTTCTGCTGCTGTCACACCGAGTGGCCCAGGTGTTACGAGTTGATATCTTCTTGGTGTGATCCAGGATGTTCCCTAGCTGGTGTCTTCAACTGTGGGGTGGTGGCGAACTTGGTGAGGATGCCAGCCCCAGCCGCTCTGTAGGGAGCTAGTGCCGGCCTCTTGGGGCCCATCCTGGGTGGCTGCTTTAGGGTGACCTCTGGACCCGCTGGCTCTGGCTCCTGCTTTTGTTCCTCCTCTTTTTGATGTGTACCTCCAATAGCTACTTGCATGGTGGCCCTCGGCAACTTCAGACTGACAGAGTCTCTCCAAGGGCAGTATTTCCCTCTCTGAACAGAACCAGCGGAGGTCTGAGATTTGTGTTTCCCTGGTGCTGACTGGGCCGCACTACCTGGACCCCACCAAGTCAGCCTTGCACTAGGGCTGGGCTTAAGCTGCCATTCCCCTCGGCGTCCTTGTGTGGTGGCTGTTGGGGCTGTGTCTAGAGGTCTCCCCAGAGCCCCATGTGGTCCCAGGTGGGGTGTTTCGGAGGTGGCTGGATCTAGGTGTGTGATGCTGGGATTGAGTCACAGTGTGATGCTAGGAGTAAGGGCAGGTAGCCTGGGTAAAATATAGGGGACAGAAAGAGGGTCACTTGTAGCTTGCTGCTTGGTGCTTCCTTTTTTCTGCCTGTCCTGCTTTGCTATGGACTTTCTCTCCTCTGCGATGGCCTGTGCCATGCCACCCTCCCTTGGAGCTGCTGACCATGGACTGAAACCTCTACAAACTGTGAGCGGAATAAAGCTTTCCTCCCTCAAGTTTGGGTGTCGGATATTTTGTCTCAGCAACAAGAAAAGTAACTAAGACAGTGCCCATCCCTAAGCTAGTCATGAAGCCAGTGTAGGGCTCTGACTGGCCCATGAAAGGGGGTTGGGGTGCCTGGAGCGAGGTGGGCACATTTTGCAGGGGAGGTGGCACGGGTGTGGTCAGCCGTGTGGGCTGCTGTGCTGGGGTTTGGTGGGTGTGGCTGCAGAGTGGGTTTGGGAGCTGGGGACCTTTGAGGACTGTGGTCCTGATGTCTTTTTTCTTCCTTTGGTGCAGGTGACCCAGAGGCTCAGGTGAGGGCCAGGTGAACAGAATGAGCGACTGGAACAGGATCTTTGCCCAAAATGTACTTGTCCCTCCACATCCGCAGAGAGCCCGGCAGCTTTTGAAGGAATCCATGGCCTTTCAGTGTGTCCTGAAGTGGCTCGATGGGCCGCTAATTAAGCAGGTAATGAGATTTGCTATTCATTGTCAGCTGCTCTCAGACGAGATGAGGTTTACAGTTACCATTGATTTTCACTTATCTACTGAGGCTCACTGCCACACCCATTGCTTGGGCTTGGCAGTGTCTGGAGGCAAAGTGGCCCATCAGCGGGGAGGATCAGGACTCAGCAGCTGGGTCAGCACTTCTGACCCCGGGTAAGAATTTCTTCCACCCACAGTGGAGCACTGTGCAAACCCAGGTACCCTGATTTCCAGGGTTATGTCTGAGCCAGATGACTTGCAAGAGGCGGCCCTGTACACCTCTGGGCACGGCCTGCTTTCAGCCGGAAGGTAGAGATGTGAGGGGAAAGCTCTGTCTATCCAGCAGTTCTGCCTATGGCTTGGGGTCCCACAGCCTCCTACACTCGGGCCTGTGCCCACGTCTGTCTGTGCCCTTCAGCTGCTGGATGAGTCTGCTTCTCGCTGCCCCTGCAGGATGTGCTTGTGGTTGGATGTCCTTGGACAGCCAGTGGCAGATGGGATGCATGGATCAGTGTGAGCACGTTTCCTATGGGCCTGGCTTGGCAAGACTGCCCTCTCCTGTAGCTTGGCGGGGCTGTTCACATACATGGGAAGTTGTAGGAGTGCCGGGCCTATTTAGTCCACTGTGACCAATCACTAACAGCTCCACCAGCCTTCCCCAGACTGGCCCAGCTGGCGTTTGCCATTGCGGTGGGCACCGGGAAGCTGTCACAGCTTTACTTCTTTGCACTTTGTTGTGTGGCTTCACTGCAGGCCTGGGGAGGAGGCACCAGCGCTGTCTGTTCACAGGAGAGGAGCAGCTTCCAAGAGCGCAGTCAGCTGCCCAGGGGACATGGATCCACTGGCCCTTGGCTCCCTTTCCCATTGTATTTTAGCTCTCAGAAGGTAATTCACACAGGTCAGAATTCACAGGGACGCACAGGGAAAGTGGATCATCCATTGTGTCCCCAAGGGACCCAGTGCCCACTGTAGATTCAGCCAATGTCACATGTTTTTGTGCAACATTCCGGACATTCTAAGCAAACACAACAAATGAATATCTCTTAATATGTGTTTTCCTTTTTAAAAAATAAATGAAAGCTTACTATATTTTTTTATGCTCTGCTTTAAAAAAAGATATTCTTAACAGTGTGTTTTATAGGTTGTTGGTGTTATTACAGGAAGAGATTTCCTATTCTTTCTTGATATGGATGAACCACCACATATTTAGCTAGGCCCTTTGAGTTAGTCAGCTTCCCATCACTGTGACAAAATACTGGAGAAAAACAACTTAAAGAAGGAAAGGTTTATTTTGGCTCATGGTTTCAGAGGTTTCAGTCCATGGTCAGGTAGTTCCATCATTCAGGCCTGTGTCAGGGTGGAAACGTGGCAGAAGGGTGTGGTGGAGGAGAGCTGCTCACCTCATGGCACCAGGAGGAGAGTAAGCAGGAAAAGAGCCAGAGAGGAAGGGGCGGGGTTGAGAGTAAACCCTTTCAGGCCATACTCCCAAGGACCTACTTCCTCCCGCCAGGCTCTACCTCCTAACAGCATATTCAGCTATGAACTCATCCATGGATTAAACCATCTGGGAGTTAGCACCCCTATGATCTGATCACCTTCTTAGAGCCCCACCGCTGAGCACAGGAGGCTTTTGGGGGATGTTTTTCATCCAAATCACAGTATCCTTACTGAGGAACTTTAGACTTTTCAAGCCATTTTCTGTTATAAACACTCCTTCAATGAATAAAACCTCAGTTACAGCTTTTTAAAAATATCTGTAGAATTTCTACAAGTGGAATTTCTGATTCAAATTGTTACAACTTACCATTTAAGAGCATGTTATATGGTATTTATAAAAAGTATGTTTAAACAAAAGGATATAAACAAATTGGAAGTAAGAAATGAAAGAAAGTGTTGTGGCTTTCTTCACGATAGACTGCCTTGCTTTCTCCAGGTGTCTTTCATCCTGCTTTTTCCTCTTTACTCGGCCCAAGCTTGTTCTGCAGAGCCAGTTTGTCACTTTTACTTTTTCAAATAAACTTTGCCACTGCTTTTTGCTCATTTTGTGTAATTCTTTGTTTGATATGAGAAGAATCTGGAAAAAAAAAAGAAATGGAAGAAAAACCATGTGAGTATGAAGTGTAAAGATCTTGTGACTATGCCAGTATCTGACAAAGTAGATTTCAAGGTGAAGAGTAGGACTAGAGATGAAGGGGCATTTCTTTTCTTTTGATATATTCATTTGGGGGTAGGGTGGGGAGGGAACAGAGGCTTGGCCATGTTAGGCGGGTACTCTATCAGTGATCAGTACCGCCTGCCCATAGGGAGCATTTCATCAGCTCACGTTCAGCAGGAACATGCTGTGGTCCCTGTACCTGTGTACCTGAGTTGCCCGCCCCCCAGCCTGCAGGAGCCTCTAAGAGGACTCAGGGCTGAGACTCATCACAGGAGTAGACATAGAAGGGGATCAGCAAGGGGAGCAGGTGCACACTCCAAGGGTCCTTACCCTGGGGCAGCACGCAGGGTGCAGATGAAGCCTCAGTGGAGTTGGGATGTTACCTAGCACGTACCCACATGCCAGACTCCCAGAAGCAAAGCAGGCCTTTGGCATAAACCAGTGTCTGGGCAGCTTGGGCGCAGTTAGCAGAGGGAACCCTCTGAGATCTCAGGTCCCAGATGCCAGCCCAGGCCAGCCCTGTGAGTGCAGTTCCCGAGCAGGGCAGGCAGGGCTCTAAATCAGCTCTGTGCAGGGCTGCCGAAGCCTGGAGCAGAACTGGGTAGAGGTGAAGGGACCTGCATGTTAGATTCACAGTCATGGCTTCAGACCCCTCCTCTCCCACACTAATCAGTAGAACATACAGATAAAAAATTTGAAAGATGTGACCAGCATTGTCAACCACGTTCAGATCTCTTAAATATCGCCCCCAGTGAACACAGGTGCACCTTCTTCTGAAGTGTGCAGGAGGCACTCAATCGGAGAGGCGTGTGCAGCAGGCACTCAATCGGAGAGGCATGTGCTGGGCTACAGAGATGTGTCACCATTCAAAAGGGGTGAAATTAGAGAGAGAATGTTCGCTGATACTGTAGTGTTAAACTAGAAGTCAGCAGTAAGATCAGCAAACAGACTTAGAAAATAGTAGGAAATTGACCCACTGCCAAAAAACCCTTTGGTCCAAGAAGAATTTATAGAGAAATTTAAAAATACTTTGAACTGAGTAATGGAAGGAAATATAAAAAAATCATGCGATATAGATAATGGTAACCCCTTGGCGGAAATGTATAGCTTTATATAACTATGTTAGAAAAGAAGAAAGGAAGGGCCAGGGATTTAGCTCAGTGGCACTGTGCCTGGCTTGCAAGCACAAGGTCCTGAGTTCAATCTCTGGTATGAGGTGGGAGAGGGAAAAAAAGAGCAGTGTAAAATCAGTGATTCCTCAAGAACTTAGATAAAAGAACAAATTAAATAGAAAACAAAATGATAAGTATTTGAGCAGAAATCATTAATAGAGAATTTTAGCAAAGGAATTAGAAGTTGGTTCTTTGGAATGATCAATAATATTGATAACCCTCTAGCAAGACTGGTTAAGAGGAAAAAAGGGCAGATTTCTGTAGCAGACGTCCCTGCCGAGTGCTAGCGTGCTATGAGTGGCACACGCTTCTTGCGTCCCTTAATTCGGCCACACTGTTTTATATCAGGGGTCACACCAGAGCCCTGCATGACTCAAATGGGCTGTCAGGCAGCAGAGTTGGGCTAGCATTGCTCCTTTGCTAATGGCTCTCCCTGAGGCCTAAGTCCTGGCCTGTGAAGTGGCAGGGCTCTGCTGAGTTATGTGCAGCTGAGGTCAGTGTGACCCCAATTAAAATCCTTTCCCCTGAATTATGGCTTCTCAGTGACCCGAGGGGTTGCTCGCTACTTGCACCCAGTCTCAGTACCAGTTTGTTCGATCAAGCAAAATAAGCAGTGCCGACTCCCTGACAGCCCTGCCTGGCGCTATCATGCCAGGTGTTCAGCAGTGTTTCACTGGATGCCTTCAAAGCACACCCTGCTCCCTATTCCCTCCCATGACTGTATTCAATAAATACTGGAGGTGCTTGGGGGCCTTTGTCTTTCCTGCCTAGAGCAGCACTGTTGAGGACCCAATACCCAACTTCTCTCTAAGTCTAGTTTCCTGACCTTTAATTCGCCTTGTGCTGTGGTGGCTCACAGGAGGCCAGAACCCAAAGTAGAGGTTCTGGCAACGTCTCCCTCCCTGGTCCCTATAGATTTCCAATACTATGAACGGATAAAGAAGCATCATCACATATCTGACAGACATTAAAGATGTGATGTTGAATTTCATCAAATATTGAAGAAATAATTATCTAGAAAACTCCTGGGGAACAGGGAGGAATGCTTCCTAACTTAGTTCTTGAGGGCATAGTAACTCTGGTCCAAGCTGGTTATCTACCGCTCAACAATAGGAACGTAGAAATCTTTGAGGTGTTAGGACAGCACATCAGCATATATTTAAAGGATGGTGGATTATTGGAGTTCATGGAGAAATGCAAAGTAGACTCCACAGTCAAAACACAGCACTTAAGGCAGTTGGAAGTAGATGTTAGGAAAGAAAATCGAACTTAGATCGTTGTACGAGTTCCTGCAGTTTTAGGTGCTCTGAGTGTTGAAGGCTTTGATGCCAACAGATTTCTGTGAGTGGGGCTGGGCCAAGGATGTCCTGGGCTCCTTTGGAGCTCAGGTACTTCATTGAATATTTTAATGTGTTTCTTCTCCCGTCCCACCTAGTTTTTTGGTTTAAGCTTTTCATGGACACTGATATTCCTTCTTGGGGCGACTTTCCGTTCAGTTGGGTGTTTATTAGGCACCTGTTTTGTTTGGAACTGGGAGACACTGGGACTGTGCTCCAGGTCCTGTCCTCATGGAGCCCTCAGCCAGGTGAGAAGACAGACCTGGAAACTCACCCACATGGGCGTGGGTTCAGGGCCACACAGAGGCAGAGGGGTAGGGAGGATCTGGCGTTCTGGGATGAAGTGCAAGCCCCCATTACTGGGTCCCACCTGAGGCTGCCCTGCCTGGGGTGACCTTGCAAGAGGGAGGTGAGGGGTGGAGGGAGAGGGAGAGGGGAGGTGACAGATGGCCAAGCAGTGAGGAGGTGGAGGATCGCAGGACCTGGCTGGGAGGCCTGGCCCGGGCCTCCGGATGGAGCAGGGGACAGCATTCCAGGACCAAGTTACAGCTCACATGCTCATTGGGGCTGCAGACAGGCAACGTGTAAAAGCCAGGCTATTGACACGCACCTGTAATCCCAGCACTTGGGGAGGCCAAGGCAGGAGGACTGTAAACCCAGCCTGAGCAGCTTAGTAAGATCTTTCCAAAGGTAGGGGGTAGCTCAGTCCAGAGGCCTCGGATTCAGGCCTCAGTAACACATACACACACAATGTTGTTATGGGCAGGTCATTTACTGTTTCTCCTCTCCAGGAGGCCCCAATGCCAGAGCATTGATGGTACGGAAAACTGGGAAATGCAGTTCCCACAGCTAGGAATGGTACACTTCTCGTGGTCCCTCCAGACCTGCACCCCCCCCGACCCCCGGCCTTGGATTCTGCTCCTTTCCACCTGTTCCCTCGCCCATGTTCCCTGGGCCTTGTGCCCTCAGATTTTGTCCTCTGACAGCACCTGCCCGACCTGTCTCTTCCCTTTTCCTGGTCGTTCTTCATGTGCGCCCCGCAAGGGTAGAGAGTCTCGCTCCATCCCTCTCCATCCCCAGTGCCTCGCACAGAATGGGCGTTCTGGGAGTGTTTGTTAAATGAGGACAGAAGAAGAGCGGTCTCCACTGCAGGTGATACCTGTGCCATTGCTGGACATAACCAGCGACAAAAACACTGGAGGCTAAGCTGGAAACTTGCTGTAAATAGTGAATAGCGAAGCTGTGGGAGAAAATTGCTTTGTCCTGTACTTTTAGCCATGACTTCTCAGCCCTCCAAGATCTGCTTTTCCTTTGCTAATGCAACCTCAAAATAATCCGGGCGAGTTGATGACTTAGAGTTTCTGGTTATATCAGGAAGGACTCATTTTGGTGCAAATGATAACAAAAGAAAACAAAACCCTAAAGTGCCTCCTGATGCTACACGTGGTTAACTCACGGAGAGAGCTTTAGGTGTGGTTTGATCCAGGGTCTCTTGTGATCTTACCTGGATTTCTTCTCTCACCTCTTGCCTCCGCCTGGTGTCAGAGTGGCCACCAGACCCGTGAGCCCTCATCCTGGCAGGCACATCTGACGCCACCGCCCTGGATCCTTGTGTCTTCTTGGCTCTGGACGCGTTAAGCCTGTGTCTGTTCCAGAGGACTTCAGTTGTCTGATTGCCAGGGCAGGGCTGAGCACCGAGACCCGTAACCTCAACAAGGCCAGCGGAGATTCAGCTGCTGATGGCTGCATACGTGGGATGGATGCCCATGTCCCAGTGCCCGGGTGGCTTGTCAGGGACCCGGGCTGGCTCATGACTCCACACGCTTCAGGGCTCTTCCCTGCTGTCTCCTAGGGGGCGCTGGAGGTGCTGTCGGAGGTCGAGTGCCACCTGCGAGTGTCTCTCTTCGACGTCACCTACCGACACTTCTTTGGGAGGACGTGGAAAACCATGGTGAAGCCGACCAGGCAGCTCTCTCAGCAGCCACCCAGGATCATCTTCAGGGAGGTGGGGCCTGGAGCCAGGGCCGGGCTTGGGTGGGCTGGGGTGTGTGGGCCCCTGCAGGAGCCTTGAGGGGCAGCAGGCCCAGGTCACAAAGCCTGGCTTAGGCGTGGGCACTGTTCTTCTGAGGACGGTCTTAGATGCTGGATGTCTCGGGACAAAGTTTAGGAAAGTGTCGCTCTCGTTCCCTGCCACTACTTCCTTCCCTTCCCTGTTAGCTTTCTTTTCTGCTCCCTCCTTCCCTCTCTCCCTTTCTGACGGTGTAATTGAGACAGCAGAGGGTCCCGCTGCGTGGACAGTGGCTGAGCGTGGGCCCAGACCTGCCTGTCTCCAGACCGGGCAGTGATGTGGGCACTGGTCGAGGCCTGTGTCCCCTCGGTGGCTCTGCAGGTGCCACCCTGCACATGGCTGCTCTGCCTCCTGCAGCTGCCCCCAGTGCCCTGGCCTGCAGCCAGCGTGTGCCCTGCGGGCCCCCTGCGGAGCCAGGGCGGGGAGGCTGTGCCTCTCAGCGCTTACATCTGTCACACGGAGGTGACTACAGCTGTGCTGAGCCTCACAGGCCCAGGAGGGCAGCCTCTCTGGGGGCCAGGACCTGCAGGACATGAGAGAAACGGCCTCTGGGGTGAGCAGGAATGAGTGCACTCCCAGCAGGGCAGGGTGTCGGGAAGGGAGAGGGGCTGTGGGCAGGATGGGTCCTGCAGGATGCCAGGGCATGTTGCCGAGGCCTTTCCCGTGCTGCTGGCTGCTGGTTTGCACTTCTTTTGTTGTTGAGCCAAGGTCTCACTGTGCAGTTCATGCTGGCCTTGAACTCATTGTGTAGCCCACACTGGCCTTGAACCTGCAACAATCCTCCTGCCTCAGCCTCCCGAGGGCTGGGATTAGAGATGTCCGCCACCACACCTGGTTCCCGGCTTCTGGTTTGTACCTGAACTTGAGTGGGGAGAATACAAGGATTTAGCACCTTCAGGGGACACCTCGGGGATCCAGGGACCTGGCTCTTTGGGTTTTTTTTTTTAGGGGCACAGAGTGAGACCAGGGAACCCTGGTGTCATGGGTGATGGTGGTGGTGACTGCAGTGGACTTCTCAGCTATGCCTCCCAGGCCCCTCCCCAGCGGCCTGCTCTGGCTTGGGTGGCTCTGTGCCTCAGGCTGGCAGGGAACACGCTGCTCCCCGCACTTGGCTGTCACCCAGCCCAAGGAGTGTGTGTGCCTTGGCGTGGACCACGGCTGAGGTTGTCCCGAGTTAACGCTACTGGTTGCCCCAGAGGTCAGAGGAGTGAACAGAGCCTGGGCACGAAGTGGGGGAACTGAAAATGTGTCCGACAGGAAGCTTGTCGCCCCCTACAGGCCTCCCCGGCCAGTGGGTGGTAAATTACCGGGTGACTGTACAACCCGAGAGGGCTGTCTGTGCACCTCCTGCACCCATGGGAGCTGTGTCCTGTGTCCCTGGTCCTGATGCTGCTGTTGGGGCTCTGTGTCCCTTGGGCCTGGCACTTTGATTTCTTTCTTGGGGAGCAGAGCGAGCCCGGGGAATGGCGTTTGCAAGATGAGTAATGCTGGCGGTGGTGACTGCAGCTGTCCCGTCCTGGGGAGGGACTTGGAGGGCCAGGCTTGGCTCACAGGCGCATGATGTCATCCTTGCCCTCCTTCTGTGAAGGTCACTTTTGTCCCCATTTTTAAGAGGAGAAAGTTGAGGTTCATGGGAAGAGAATCCCTCCCGCTGGTTGCAGGATGGTGGTGGCCGGGTCAGCATTTGGAACTTTAGCAGCTGCTCACACGCCTGTGCTGTGTCCTTGTCCTGGTCGCCTCAGGCTTAAGAGTGGCCCTGCCTTTGGGTTAGGGGTGTGGGGGGCACGTCAGGACAGGACGCATGGCCCAGGAGCCTCCCCATTGGCTCCTCCTCCCTCCTCCACCTGTTTCTGCCTCTGTTTAGAGAGCGGGTCAGACGGTCCCTGTCCCTGCAGCATCTGCACTGTGCTCCCTGGGGGTGGCGCTGATCCAGGCAGCCTGGCTGCAGGTCAGAGGCAGTGCCTCTGTCTCCTGCTGCTCGGGTTCCCGAGGGACGACCCTTGGAGGAACCAGCTACATGGAAGAAGAGGCAGACTGTTGAGGCCACGCTGTTCTGTCCTTGTCTGGGGTCACATCCATGCCACTGGTCGCCGGTGGCCCCAGAAGGGGAGCAGTGCATCAGGTTTCACTGCCCCCTGGTGGCAGGGTGTCCCAGGCCTTTTGTTCTGAGCCCAGGGTTGCCTGTGCTAGTGGCTCAGACAGCAGTGTGGGCTGCAGCCTCCCCAGTTCAGCCAGGGCCGCCCCTCTTGGTGGGCAGAGTTGGGGGACGGGGGGAAGTGTAAAGTCCTTGGGGTGCAGTGGGGTTAGCGTGGGGTGTGAAAGGCCGAGGGGCTGCCTCTACCCCGACTTGCTGGACAGGCCCCCCCCCGCCCCTCCAGCTGCTATGCCCATGGTGAGCAGCAGAGGCCACTGGTGGCCCAGGCACGAATGCATCCTGACAGCTGTTTGGCAGTGTCTTCTGTGCCGGGCGTTTCCTCCTAGCTCCTTGCTGTTCAGAGTGCAAACACAGGCCCCCTTCCCGTTTTGTTAGGTGTAGAGAGTTTCCCTTTGCTGTGTGTGCGCAGGTGAGTGCGTGGTGTACACATGTGAGCATGCACACGCGGTGGAAATGCGGGGCACCGTGGGGCATTGGCAGCAGGTGTGGGGAGCTTGTGGCCCCCAGTGCTGAGCCATGGAGAGGGAGAAGTGAGCCCCATTCGCTGCCTTTGAGGGGTGGCTCTGGGGTTTGCAATTGCTGCCTGGCCTTCCCCACGGCAGTGGCTTGGTGGTCTGATTTGAGGTTGGTGAGCTAATGGCAGCAGGGCCCTCAGAGCCGATGAGCCTCCCTGAGGCACTGGCCCTGCCCCGTGTGCTCTGGCTTTGTTGAGCCGTCACTGTGCACTCGGCCCTATAGGAAGGTGCTGTCTCATTCCTGTGCAGATAGATAGCTTTGTCCTGAATAAGACTCGAGCCAGGAAGGCTTGCCGGACGCCGGGGGATCTGTCCCCTTGAGGGCTTTACCCAACAGTGCCCAGTACCTCCAGCCCCTCTCAGCTCGGAGCTCATGGCTCTGTGTTCTCTTCTGAGACCTTCCTGTAGGGAGGAGTTGCCTTCTTCTTCTTTTGAGGTGGTTAATAACTCATTTGGCCTCTAAAAAAGTTGTCTGTTGAAAAATAATCCTGGAGGCCACAGCACTGTGTAGTTTGTGCATTTTTCTCTTTTCAGTGGATAGAATTCTCTCTGATTCTGTGTCCTGGTAACCACTGCCACCCTGCTGACAAGCTTGGTTCTCCTCTTCTGTTGGTCGGAGGAGTGCACCTGGGCTGGGACCCTGGAGCTTCCCCAGACACCCAGGCCCAGTGCAGGGCCCTTTCCTGGGGGCACAGCAGCCCAGATGTTGCCCAGCCCTTGCCAACAAGGGATACGGGCCATTGGGTCGCTCCCCTTCCTGTAACGACAGCGAGGGGAAGGCAAGTCTGCTACCGCTGTCATTCAGCAGAGTAACGAGAGTCGTGGCATGTCCCTGAGAAGTGTGTGCCGTCTGGGACCCATGTGACCCAAGCAGACCTCCCGGAGCCCTGCTGAGCCACTTGGTTCAATGCCAGTTCCAGAGGTGCAGTTAAGTAACCCTCTCGTGCCTGCACTGGTGATGCAGGGCACAACCTAATGTGAGGGCAGGCCACCACCTCCTTTACCAGGGACCTGTCCCCGTGTCTTCAGCTTTGTCCCTCTGGGAGGGCGCCTCGCTCTTGGCCTGGCAGAAACCACTCCCGGGGCTCTGAACCCAAAGCGAGCCCCAGAGAACATCTTGGCGAATTTCCAGTCTCTGGCCTGGTTGAGTGCGAAGTGAACTGCCAGTCGTTTGGGGCACAGAAAGCTAGGGCTGTGTGCTCATAACAGCAGACTGTGAGGTGCTTCTGGCTTTGGGTCATGACTGGGTTTGCTCACCTACTTTTCTGAGTCGTCCTTTAGGCCAGAAGCCTGGCTTTGTGTAAGCATTGGGTCAGATGCAGGATGCACGTGGCCCAAGTCTCACACTGTCACAGTTCCCAGTGGGGTTTTTCACGGGTTGTTAACATTGACCCTGGACTCCCTCATCTGTGCCCTCGAGGTAGCAGTGTGCATGTCATGTGGGCAGCATGAGTGTAAAGTTGCGTGGCTTCACACACACGGGCCCAGGTGGCAGCAGGGTCCACGCAGCAGTTGTGGGTGAGCACCTGTCCCCTGCCAGGCTGTGCTTAGGAGCTGGGTGATGTGGGGTGCGAGCCTTTTACCGGTGAAAGTTCATGTTGTCCCTCCAGGTTGGCGTTCACCTTGGCGTCCAGCTCAGGGACCTGAGGTTGTTTGCCTCACAGGAGAGTTGGAGATCTGTTGGGTGCTGGGTCTGGGAAAGCAGGGGAGGCCTTTGTGGATTCCACTCACTTCTTGTCACAAGCTCTTTGGAAGGTGCTCGTTTACTCTTTGCTTGGCTCCTCCTGGCCCGGCGGGCACATGTCAGCAGGTGGCAGGTCACATGGCATCAACTAGGCGTGCCCAGTGCAGCCTCCTGCTGAAGGCACCGAAGCAGAGCCCAGTTTCAGTCCTGTTACTGCAGGTGAGGCCTGTGCTCTTGGCGATGGAGGTGTTAGGACAGGCGCACTTACAGGATCTGTGAGTCTGTTGGTCCTGTCAGGGAGGAAGTGTGTCAGTGGAGCTGAGGCGGTGTAGGGATGAACGACCGTCTCCTCTGTCTCAGTGGCCTTCTCCCGCAGGCAGTTTGATGGGCTTGACTTAAACTTTTAAACATGCACTTTCAGTTGCTGCATAGAATTTTCCTCCCTCAGTATATGATGTTGGCTTTCATTAAATTTCCCCAGACTGAAGGGCCTGTTTGCAGGTGTTGCTGCCTGAGAGCTGTCTGTGTTCCGCCAGAGCCCATTTGTGTCCCTGGAGGTGTGGGCTCCGGGTACAGGGATCCGGTTGACTGTGATTTTGACTCAGGAGAGATGTCCGAGTTTCTGTCCCTGGGAGGTTTCGCTACTCAGGAGCTCAGAGCCACCTCATGCGTCCTTTGCAAAGTCTTTGAGCCTTGAACTTCAGCAAGGCTAGATTGCAGTTGCAGAGTCCTTATGAATTCTTGGGCATGCTACTGTTGCCACCTGGAGCTGGAGGGCCAGTAACTGAGTTCTGGAGGTGCCTGTGCCCCATCCTCCAAGAGCAGTGCCACTGGGCTCTGAGCTTGAACTGCCCTTGGCCGTGCCTCGTGTCCAGTACAGGCTGCTCTTCTGATGAAGGCGTGTTCTGCCTCCAGGTCAGGGCTGCTGAGGCAAGCAGCTTGGGGGCTCTGGTGCTGGGCTTTTTGGTTTCATGATAATTGTTCTTGGTGGCAAATGAGAGGGAAAGGAGGCAGCCGCAAATCCGTACCTGGGGCATGCCAAGAGGCTCGTCCCGCTGCCTTCCGGTGGGGCACTTTCAAGGTGCCCTCTAAGCTGGGAGATTACTGTTGCTTCACATCAGAGTTTAAAGTGTGCGTTTTACGGCCAGAAGAAAAAGCAGGCAGTGCTCATGAAGGGGGTGTGCGTAGGTATAAAGATGGAGGTGAGGTGGTCACACTCACAGCACAGCAGGCCTCGTACACAGCTCTGAGCCTCGGAAACAGAAACATAACTCTCTCTCAGTCCAGCCACCTGTCAGCTGTAAGTGGTCATTATTTCATCATTTTGCAATAAAAGATAATAGAAAAACGATTTATATCTTGTGGCTGATGTTTTAATGTGTCTCTCTGTTATCCCGGGCTGACAGTCTGTGATTACAGGAAGCGTGCCCCC